ATACTTACATAAACATGCTGGATCGTTTTCCAAACCTTGACACACAGCTGCTTTGTGTTCTGCTGTTTTTGCAAGGAACCTGTTGMAATGAAAGTTTACGGTTTAGGAYAAACTATTATATGATGGAATGCAAACACTAAARCCATGAAAAACTTTGGTAATTAAATRGTGTCCAAATTGTGTTAAATTTTGCAAATTCCTTTGTTTTCTATAGTCTTATCTAAACTGTATCACATTTTAATAGTCATTATTTTCGGGTTTAATGACTTCAGTCTAACTAACTAAAGTACTTAGGTACTGTAGTAYAAAAGAACAAAAGGAAGCAAGTGGTTTTGAAACAACTGCTAGCATACTTAGCAAGCCCTTGTTCTATTTCCTTGCGCTGATTGGCATATCTTTCTCGTACAGCCTTGTACTCTTCACTGAGCTGACGAGCAGTCTAAAAAAAAAACAAAGCAAAACAATAAATCTCATTTATAAGACACATTTCCTTCTAATTGACATCCAGCAGAATGTGCTATCCTTATATCATAGAAAATGTTCAAATGCCTGCATTCTCTCCTCTTACAGCCTTTCTTAAAGCTGTTAACAAATGAATTGCTCTATGGCGTAATTACATTACACCAAAACATTCTATGGAAACCAGCCATTGACAGAATCACTGCTATTTCACTTCACACAAATAAAAATATACAGCCTTCTAAAGTTTTAATTATATAACTTAAACGTTTTAAAAGAAGTATGACATTTGTCAAAACATGATCAAATTGAGAAAGAAAGAGAGAAAGAGTCTTTTTACTGTTCTGAAGAATTATTTTAATTTAAACATGCTGTTACATTATTCTTCGATAAGGCAATTAGATAAGTTGTATTTGCATAACCATTTCTTACCGGTGTTTTGACATATGAATGAGGATCTGGAAATGCTGGTAGATGTGTTGGTATATATGATGGTCTAGCTTGCTTATTTCCAGCCTCAAGGGCTTTTGGTGCTGGCATGATTTTGGACTTTAGAGCTGTATTCAAGAACATGTTGGTTACAGACAGAAAGACAGGAGATTTTTATTTGGTGCTTCGTTCCACCTTGATACACTGGGATTATAATTGCAATTATTACGATAATTCTATTTAACTTTTTTGCTCTCTAAATGCTTTGAAAGCAGTTAAAAATGTGCTTTGCTACTGCCACTTGTGACAGTTTGGTGAATTTATCAGTAGCAGGAACAAACCATTTTCATTACACATATTTGGAGTTTCTTTCCTGAGTTATTAAAACAATTAATAATTCATAAGGTAAACACAGTGGACAATCACTACCATGACTGCATCATTTGTCCTGATTTACATACGACATTAACTTCGATTTTCTCTAACAAATGATATTTTATCTTTAAGTTTTTTTGCGGATTTCCTATTTAATTTCTTACGATTATTTAGATGTAGTCTATGACTTCGTTTTGCATAGTGTGGGATTGAGTCTAAATCAGCACCTAAGATTCAAAAAATAGAGTCACAATTAGTATCAAGAATCAACTTTGAACATTCATTATTTTATGTTCACCTGCAGGGGCCGATTAGGTGGGGGGAGGTGCTAAAAATTTTTTTTAACTTTTCATGAAATGACAAAAAGGAAACATGAAAAATTAAAATACATTTGATTGTCATCAATCAATTACATTTCGATTGAAGATTAGTAAGTTGGTGAAGCAAGCAAATTTTTTTTGATGTCCCCCCCCCTTAAAAAATTGCTGGATCCACCCCCGACTTGACTGCAAAAATGTTGTTGTACAGAAATAGAACATCTGAATTTTAGTAAAAAGGAACATGATTAACAATGAGCAACAGGGCTGAATGTTTTCTTTTGACAGACTTCTATTGTATAGTCAAACAGACAGTCATCTTGATGGGAGTCCAAATGACTCAGTTTAATAGAAGATATGTTTAGAGTAAATC